TTTGAAGAAGCTGTGAGAAAGTGGATGAGTCTCTCTGTGTTTCAGAGCAGGGTTTAGCCGCGTGTGGCAAACAACGGGCATGGTGACACCTTTCGTACAGGGTATGAAGTCAGGATGAAGCGGTTGATAAGGGCTCTGGCAAAGGCAGAAGAACCAGTACGCGGGCAGGTGTGTCGGGGCAGGCACGATGCCCGGCCGCTCCTCCCGCCTTGCCCTGGCTTACACCAAGCGTCTCCGCAAGGGAAATCCGACATTTGTCACCAAAAGGAACAGGAATCTGTGCAGAGCAACGTGGTTACCCCTCCCGGGATCAGACCTCACAGTGATAGCTCGGGTTAAACCCGATCCTGGTGGTGCCCCTCGGAGCAGACCAGCCATTACATCGACCACGGTGCGGGAAGGGAGCACTGCCTGGCAGAGACGGACGGTGACATTCGTGGTCTGGTCAAGACATTAGTTAGAGGGAGGTGTGTTCTACTGGAAAAAGATTTTTCCACCCATTCTTGCGTGTTAGGCCCATGTGAAAAAGGACCATCCCATCCCACCCCATCCCTCTCCATCTCCACCCATGGCTCCTGCCCTGCTCTGCCCCAGGCATCAGCCCACTGCCTCCCACCACCCTGCTCCATCCTCCCGGTGCTCCAAGGACTGCCCAAACTTTGTGTGTCAGTTCTCTGTCCCCACCATATCAGTTCTTCCCTCTCGGAGCTGACAGCAAGGACACTTCTCCTGGTGCCACCATCTCATCCAGCTCCCTGAAGGTATCTCCTGTCTCACATAATGCCTTGGGGTAGAGAAAGCTTCCCACAGGTTGGGGGAACAGCTCTAGGGGTATCACCCACGTGTGGAGGTGACGCACCATTCCGGCACCAGGAAAGCAAGTTGCCATCACAGTTAGAGCAGGCAGCTCCCAGTGACATTCCCCATAGCAAATCCCTCCCTCACACCCTCGTGCCTGGAGCCAGGCACGGGCAGCAGGACGCAGAACAAGTCACATTTTTCATCCTGTATCTCTACGACCCGAACCTCTCTGCTGGTGACTGTGAGCTCCTGTCTCAGCTCTGGGGCTGAATCTCCTCCGGCCTTTGGCGAGCAGGTCTGGGAAGTGCTGGTGTCCCTGGCACAGGCTGACAGCAGGACTCCCTGGAGCACCTGGGGCGCAGCGGGTTAGAGCATCTCCTGCTCTGCAGCCCTACACTGCCAGACAGGACGGGTGACAGGGGTGACAGCTCGGGGACTGGCCTTCTGACACAGTGACTAGGTTAGACAGCAGCCTGAGGGCAATTGTTTTCTCCGCTGTGGTAACCAGATTGTGCAAGGCGTCCATCAGAGAGAGCAGGAAAAGCTTTGTGTCTTCAGGCTGCATCTGCTGAGGGAGCTCCTGAACCTCCAGCCAAATTCCACACCGCAACCAACACAGGAAGAGCAAAGCAGCAGACGCAGAAGTCACCACACCACCATACCGCACCAGCAGCAGCCTGTACACTCCCGTTCAGTTACACACACACACAAGACAAGGGCAGAGCAGTTATGATAATTTACATTTTAATCAGCCAAATATACAAGTTCTGTTGGTGGTGGTTTTGAAACTTTATCAAGTTTTTTCCATCTGGGTCTCATACAATTAACATTGTTGTTTTTTTTTCCTTTAAACAAAGGATGATGTGGTTAAAAACTGGCACTATCCCTAATAAGGAGAAGAAAAAAAAAAAAAAAATGAAGAGGAGGGAAAAGGGGAGACTGGCTGCAAGAAAGGAGGGATGAAACCGGGAAGGAACGGCACTCCAGATGTCCATGAAGTCAGGCTCCCAGATTATACTGCAACACCCTGCAGCAAAATTTGACGGGCCGTTTGCCCAAAAGGATTCCTCAGATACATTATCCTTTGGGCTTTCACGAGCAAGTCAAAGTTCCCCACCCCACGCCCCACCCCACAATGACCCCACAATCTATTTTCTTGCAATCTAATATTTGAAGCATCTCCCCTCCCGCACAGCTCCCTCCCGCCCTGCCCCCTGTCTATGAGTTCTTAACCCTAAAAACAGCAAAAACATTCAGGTTTCCAAACTGTTACAGAGAATGGCTGTTCAGCACAGTTCTGCACCGAAGATAGCAGCTGCCCCTAACCCCAAATGGAAATCTGTGCCAGAATGAGGACAAACACATCGTCAAGTGTCTCTCGGAGGTGAAGGTGACTTCGATGCCGCAGTACACCCTACGTGGCATCGATGGTATGCAACACGACAGAGGTCCTGGCAGGCACCAGGCACAGTTCCCTGGCGTTTCCTCCTCTTGCGTGTCCTGTGCTTACTTGTTAAGGGATAGTGACTGCAGTCTTTTACCTGCCATGGCCGCTTCGTCTTTTGCTGCGGGAGGAAAACAACAGAGGTTTCATCATTTCACAGCACACATCAGGGACTGGTGGTGATCTGACAGCCCCAGAGACTGAAATCCTGCTACCCACGTACAGTGAGGTAACAGGAAAAAAAATCCAACCCTCCCCGCCAATCCCTGGTACAGCCCCCCCAGAGTTAAGCGGAGCAGCTCTCCCCACACCTTCCCTTCTGTCCTTGGCCTCTCTTCAGCCATCCACAAATTACCCTGATGCTGATGCACAGAGAAGCCACTAAGAACACATGTTCATCAGACTTCTGGTTCGCACCTTTCAGAGCTGAAGAGAAAGTCTGGGCAGGGAAGGAGAGCTGCAGATTCTCTGGGCGCTCTGGATCCCAGCACGCAAAGCAGATAAATCACACCCAGCACAAGGAACTCGCTAAACCCCCAAACTGGAGCAAGCATCGCCTGGGAGGCTGAGGGCAATATGGATATCAAGGGCAATTCCCTTCTCTCTTCCCCTGCTCCGTGGTCAGATGTCCCAGAGCTTTATAAAGCAAGAGCTTTATAAGAACGAAACAGCTGAACCTGGTTTTGGTGAGAGGAGTTGTGATGCCACTCAGCAACACCACACAGTCCCAGGAGACGAGGGATTACTACGCGTGATATGAGAAATGATGCCTCTTGGCAGCACAGCCACCGCCAAGAGAAGAGGATATGCTTAATTACTCTCTGACCTTTTCTTTCTTCTTCTTTCTTTCTGGCAGCTTCTTCCCTTTGCTTCCGAATGATGGCTAGTCGGGCGAGGTCTGCCTTCGCTTGTTCTGTTTTACCAGCTAGGTGCATTTTCATGTATCTTTCTTTTGCCTTTTGTTTCTCTATTTCCTCTCTGTTTGAGCGAAACACACCAGTCACCAGAGTATCCAGGCAAACGTGCAGGCACAGGCAGAGTGGGAGAGGCTTTCTGACTGGGAAGGATGGCGAGGACAAAAATGGACTGCCCACAGAGACCGGGGTGCCCTGTCACCAGTTTTCAAGCACAGGTTATATCTATTGCAGGGTTTGAACAGGGATGATTCAGGAATGCTGGGGAAGGATTTTTTACTAGGGCATGTAGTGATAGGACGAGGGGGAATGGCTTCAAACTGGAAGAGGGCAGGTTTAGATTAAACATTAGGATGAAGCTTTTCACTTTAAGGGTGGTGAGGCACTGGCCCAGGTTGCCCAGAGGGGTTGTTGAGGCCCCATCCCTGGAGGTGTTCAAGGCCAGGTTGGACGGGGCTTGGAGCAACCTGGGCTGGTGGGAGGTGTCCCTGCCCAGGGCAGGGGGGTTGGAACTGGATGGTCTTCAAGGTCCTTTCCAACCTCAACCATTCTATGATTCTATGATGAGAGAGATTATTTCTACCTTCGTTCAGCTAAATAAGGACACCGACACACAACGAGGTCAAATGAATTAGCCCCAGACTGCACAGCACCATGACGTGTTTTTCCCAGCCTTACCATCAAAGGTGTACTTCTGTTGAAGCAATCTATCCCAAATAAGCAAGCTTAAATCTTTCACTCTGAAATCCTCCATTGCTAAATGAAAACCAGAAGATTAAACTTTGGTTCTCATCTTATTCATCTGCTCAGACAAAAATTTCACCATGACCCCTGGAATCTGGGAAACCGCTACCTGTCACTAGGGCACCCTCTGTAGCAAGATTAAAGCGGACCCCAAGGCGACCTCTGGTTAATGGGTTTCAGTTATATCTGAGTTTTGGCATAAAACTTTAGGAAAGGAACAGTCTACGTCCACTTCACAGCAACAAACTTCACACTCTCAGCGCAGCTGGCCAAGCTGCAGGATGGCCATAGCTACTCTCAGAGGACAGACAACTTCTGTAATGTTTGTAAGGAAAGACATTTTGAACCACAGCAAGTTCTGTCTGACAGTCCGCTGATGTTCAGTGTCTGCTTTAGAAACCAACACATCTAAAAGTCTTCCCCGAAACACCAACGCATACACAGCAGGGAAACACCTCCCCGCGTTAAGCTGCTGCCACCAGCAAGGATGAAATTCCAGGAACATGCTAGCTCTTGCCGAGGCAGTGGGAAAGACTCACCGCTCTCGTCGCGAGAGTTCCTTCGGTCCATCCAGGTCCAGCTGAGTTACTTTTTTGGTTGTCTGAATTACACGATTGGGATTCTCTATGTCTATCAACCCTTCCACTCCTTTGCGCTTTTGCTAAGGTTCAAGAAGAAGAGGAAGGTTACGAAGCTCTCTCATACCCACCACTGTGCTGTATCACACCTCATTAAATACACTGCAACACACCCCAAAAGCAGAATTCAAGGTGTTTTTACTACCAGACAGCAAACCCATTTATGAATCAAGATTTAAACCACCAGGCATCTTCAGCCATTTTTGAAATCTTGCCTTTGCATTTCACTTATAAAAATACATAAGTTTTCATTCTGAGGACAAAATGCCGTCAAGTGAGGTTTTTTGGGCTTCTAAAAATAGTTCTTCCATAAAAAAAATTATTATAGGTAACTCTCAGAGAGAACTCGGAGTCAAAAGCATGCATTTCTCTTCTGCTCCAAGAATCTGGGTGGTGCAAACACATTAAGTGCCCTGAGAATGACAGTACCTGATAATCCTCGTCATCTTCATCACTCTCATCTGAATCTAACGACTTCTTCTCCTTTTTGGGGTCCCCTGTTGCTCCTTCACCTCCTTCCTCTTGCTCCTCTTCTTCCTACAAAATCACAGGAAATTAGAGAAAACATGTGTCAATAAAAATCCCAAATCCAACAGTGACACTGAAATGAGATCATTCTGGGGGATGAGAGACAGCTCCAAGAGCATTGGTGGTCCTGGCGTGGCCCTTCTGACTCCAAAGGTGCCCGGCTGTTGCAAAACAAGAGCTCATTCTCAACACACGTGTGCATCACCTGCCCCCGCAGATCACTTCTACACAACTCTGCTGTTCTCTCTGTGTAACAGGCCAGGAAAATGATTGTAAAAGACAGAACTGGCACTTTACTTTCCCCAAATGAAAGATCTCCAGGAGAGCTTTTGGCCCGAGTTTCCAGTGCACAATATCTCAGGGACTGGAAACTACACGGATGTAACGTAGAGCTGGATCCCATCCTAGATTTAGATTAAAAAAAAAAAAAACAACCTAGAGAAGAGCAAATTGAGAACCATCAGACAGAACATTATTATCCAAGAAATGACAGCCTTTTTAGCACAGCTTTTACTAGTCAGAGGTCTAGGAATTAATTTGTAAATCATTAGAAGATAAGATTAGAAGAACCAATATGGGTGTGAATAGCTTGCTTTACCATTGCCAAATAGCCCTCATCAGAGCAAGTGGCAAAGTGGATGAGCTATGGGTAGTAAGAGGAGTAATTTTGTTAATTGGTTTTATTTTTAAGCTTTCCCTAACGAAATAGCATTAGATGGATGTGGTATGGATTATCACAAAAGAAAAAGAAGAAATCCTTCTCAAAGAGCAGTTCTCTGGTTTGGTTTGAAACAAGACAGACGTTTCAAGCGGGGTCCTACTTGTTCTATTCCTTTTCCAGAACACTTACAAAGTTTGTGAGTGACATCGCGCTGGTAGGAGTTGGAATCATTTTGGAAAACAGGATCAGACCCATAAGTGGTTTCAGAATTTGGAAAGATGGCACGAAACCAAGAAGGTGGAATCAGAAAACAAACCAAGAGGAGTTATGCTTTGGAAGAAGAAATCCAACACAAAGTCGGAACATGTGGCTAAGCAGCAAACCACACAATCATCTTGAGTTACAGCTGGTCAAAACATTAAAATGGAGTCAACAATATGGCTCATAACTGCTTGAAAGAGTAATCTTCTTCTGGGAGGTATTCATCACTATTTCCTATATGGGGTACAATTATCCTCCTATAATCAGGGCTGCGAGGCTTCAGCTGGAATAGTTTGTTTTGGCTTAGGCAGCACTTTTAGAAAGTCACAGAAAATAGCAGTGAGAGTGCCATCACAGCTGTGATAATTTGGGAATACAAGACAGCAAGTACCACAAGAAGTAGCCACACCTTTTATATTACCAGTCAGGTAGCTGTGGAAGCCGGGGAGGAGCTGTTACAATCCTATGTTGGGGCATAGAAACATGTCCAAAAAAGGACTCACGCCAGAAAACTTATCTCTCCCTACAAGTCAGAGGCAAACAGAAAAATCATTTGTACAGGAAGAAGTTAAAGGAGTTTGGTCTTTTAAGTCTAGAAGAGAAAGAGAGCAAATATAATAATTTCAATATGCATTAAGATGTCAAGATGTGAGCCCTTTTCCTCCACAGCTAAACTGCAGAGCACGGATAAAAAAAATCAGCTGATGCTGGAGGTTAGAATGATGAAATACGGGGGGGGGGGAATGTCTAGAGCTGCTGTGTAATCATCTTCCCTATCCTTTAACCTCCAAATTGTGAACTGGATGATCTACCTGGCCTCGCTTCTGTGAGGAACCGGACTGGATCACACTTTGCAGTTTCTCCAGCCAGAGATATTCAGAATTCACACTGTGATCACTGACAGAACAATCTGCAACATTTCACTAGGCTGCCATTTCTCATGAACTGCAAGTTATGCTGTACAAGCCAGGACTTACGACAGCAAGCGCATAACACAGGCAAACACATACCCTTGCCTTTTGCTTTTCTGCTTGGAGCTGGGCATCAATCTCTTCAGGACTTGTGTACTGTCTTGCTCGGCCTTTGTGGCCTCCTTTTCTACCTGTACAAAAAAATTAGGATTAATAAATGGTTTAGTGATAAGCTTCTAGAAAGGTCTCTACTCCCCCTGCAGCACTCTCTCTGGATTTTCGGGACAGACAGGACAAACCAAAATAGCTCCTCTGATAATATCTAAACAACAACGAAAGAAGGACACATTGAACTTGCCAGTCTCAGTGAAACACTCCAAGAATTTCAGGTAAATTACAGAGAGAATTAGGATTATCGATCCACAGAAAGATACTCAGAGAATCAGTTCCTTCTTTCCCCTTGGGCTGTTTTTGGAGACACCAGAACTACGAGCAGCCTATCAGCTGCACAGTGTCTTCCAAATCAAGCACAGGCTTGTCCTACGGAGAGGGAGCCAGGAAGGTACTGCCCAAAGAGGGTACTCCTGTCCCTCAACCATCGCAGAGCCGTGACACCAATTATGACAATGAGCTTCCAAGTGCCCCCTCAGCTCTCAGCGATGCCACTCTTCCTTGTCCACCCATGCCTGTGCTTGTGGCCTCTGTGATTCACTTCCCGGGCTGGCAAAGGGTGCTTAGTCCCACAGCCGCTCTCTGCGTTTCCTGCGCAGGAGGAATCACAGCATGTTCCTGCGGCAGCCGCGGTCACAACCAACTCTCTGACGAGCTTTCCTCCTTAACCCCTCCCCTACACTAAAGCTGTGCCAAGAGAAAATAAGAAGCTAATTGGACAAAAGCTTTGGGAATCATAATGAGAGCTGAAGAACTACTAAAAGGAGCCTCCATGTTTTACTGCTTTATAAGGAAAAATAAAAACAAGGGTAAGTTTAGGAAGAGGACAGAGTCAGCTTAGCTGGCTGGAATGCCCAGCTGAGATCTGCTCTCAAGTTCAAAATTCTGTTGATTAATAAATTGCTGAAGCCATTAATGCTTCCTGCAAACGACTGCTCCGTTTATGTTCTTACAGCTCAAAGAGCTGCTGGAAAGCAAGCTGAACAGAGTCAGTCTCTAGCGTTGAGCTACGGAGCTCAAGGTAGAACCGGTGTGCGAGATTGGCAAAAAGCAAACAGCTCAGGCAAGGGAGCTCTCTGCTACTACTCTGAAGTCTGACGGAAGGAGCAGGAAATCCTTGCTGTCTCTCACCCTCCCCACTTCAACTGCCACAGACAACAGAAACCTTACAATGGTGGGGAGGGCTGAGGGGATCATCCCTCCTTCCTCAGGACTGCGCCAGATACATGGGAGAGATCTGTCACTACTGCACTGCTGCGCCACGGCTGGCTGTGCTGCTGGACTTGGAGGGACAGGGAGCACCAGTGCAGGCAGCATCTGCGGGCTTTAGAAATTCAGCATTTTCTGACCGGTCCTCCTGGCTCAGCAGAGACAAGCTCTCATACGTTTTAGCTCAGTAAAAGCTGAGCTGTGGAACAAATTATCTCAAAAACCCCACTGTGAAGCTTTGCAGAGACCCCCGAGATGTTCCTCTCATGTGAAATGGGGAAACGTGGAGACCAGATTCTTCTCTCTGAACTCAGCCTTGGAAGCTCATGGTCACCCAAACCATAAGCACAACCAAGTACTTTACTGCACCCAAGACATGTGTTTTCTGTTTGTCTGTTCCCAACCATCCCACGTGGCAATACTGACACCCTCTGGGAACCAGATCTGCCACAGGAGCGCTCTAGCCCAGGGAGACATTACCTCACTGCCCAGAAAATAACATCACTCTGGATCGAACAACAGCAATATCCCTGACACACTACGTAACACCAAGAATACCTAAATAAACCAAAACAAGCCTGTGCTACAAGCTTAACCAATGCCAGGCAGCCTTCTTGTCCAGCTGGGCTCAGAATTTTACACTGGGGTCAGAACTGAAGAACACAAAAGCCTTATTACTGCAAATAAAAAGCAGTAATTGCAGGCAGGAAAGCAACTCGATAAATTACATTAAATGCCTAAAAAGAAGCAAACTGAAGAGTGAATCAATCTCATTTATATTCAAGGCTGCACACAGAGAAGTAAGGCCCCTTTGAGCGGGAGCAGCAGTGCCACCAGCGCAGCGGCTGGAGGGACTGTGGGGAGCTCAGCACAGGGTCAGGATGGGGCTCTGCTCTTCCACGGAGACGAAACCACACGTCAGACAAGTGGAATGCTGGTCCTACATCTGCCACTGACCTACCACATCACGCTGCGCAACTCACGTCAGCTCTGTGCCTCAGTTTCCCCATCTGTAAAATAGGGATAATGATCCTCATCCTCCTCTGCAAAGCACTTTTAAAATATAATCACCTGCAGATTCCACCTGCAATAAAGACCACTGGTGCCTACGGCAGGCACGTGTTCAAATACATTTGTCTCCAGCTTTAAACAGAAAAATTAAGAAAGTTAAATCAAAGAGAATGGAAGAATATTGAAGGAATCACTCATTATTTTTGAATCGAGATGCTCAAAAAAAGAAAAAATAATGAGAAATAATCCTGTAACAAAATTGATTAATGGCTGGTTAAACCTCCCCTTTTATATTAAACAGTGATTGCAAAAGTCCAATCCACAATCTCCTAACTCCTACTGACTTAGGGGGGTGGGTAAAGATCCCTCTTTTCCCAAGAAGCAAAACGCTCGAAACAAACATTTGAAACTGTCCAAGGAAATACAGGAAATCCTGAGTTACAGGGCATTTATATATGGCAACTGGAGTTATAACCCACCACAGTTCTTTGCCTTCACAAAAAAAAATACGTGAAAGCTTCAGCCCTATCTACTAACACTGTACAAATAGATACAAATTAAAGCGCTTAAAGAAAATCTGAATAGGGAAGCATATTTGGTACTAAAGCTTAGGAAATGCTGACGAAATAAATTGGAGCAAACTACAGAGAAGATGAGAGACGAGGACTAGTTTACATTAATGTATATGACTGGTGTTTCACCGACGCTCGCACAAGAGCCAATTATGCAGATGGTGCATCTGGAGAAGGTTCTGGGTGGATACAGCTCAGCCCTGACAGCCTGTCAGTCCCTCATTACTTCTCCTTAATCACACAAGCAAGTCGGTACCCGCTCTGTAACACTCAGATGCGGAGCGGCTGGAGCCACATGAAAGGAACCGCGTTTGGAAGCCCTGGACCAAAGACCACCTCGGCATCCCCCCACCACAGCCCCTGAGGGCCAGACCCTCGGCCCAGCCACCCAGATGTCCCGTATCCAGCCCCGAAGGCCTCCACCACTGAACCATCGGGAGGGGATGGCCTCCAGCCCCCCCACACCGCCTGTGCACCCCGGGATGCCCTCCCGGGATCTCCGGTGTAGCTGTAAACTCCCCTCTCCAGACCTCCGTGTGCCCCAAGACCTGCGCCGGGGGAACCGGCTGTGGTTTCCAGCCCAGCGGGGAGCACGTGGGCCCCAGCCCGCTCCCGGTCCCACGGGGAGAGCTGGCACCCCAAGGCCCGGACACCCCCAGGGGCTGCTGCGATGCCATGGCACTGGTAGGAGGGCACAGAACGGGACTCCCAGCTTTGCGAGAAACGAGGAGAATCTGCCATATCTTGGAGAGGGGGAGGCTCCCCCCGAAGCCCTCCACGAGCGGGCTGGGGGAAGAAACCGAGACCTCCGTCCCAGGCCATCGGCAGCCGGAAAGAGGGCTGCGGCACGGGGACCCCCCATGGGGGGAAGGAGACCCCTCGCCAAGCTGCCCAGGGTCGGAGAAAGGCGGGGAAAGAGACCGCCCTTCAGACCCGAGGGCGGGGAACGAGGCCTGCCACCCTCCAGCCAAGACGGGGGAGGACGAGCCCTGCCCGCCCCGGGCCTCCACAGCCGGGGCCTCCCCCCACGCGCCTCCGCTCCTCCTGGAGCCTGGGGGAGCTACACCCCCCTCAGTCCCCTCCCACCTCCGGCAGGGGCGACCCCCCCCCCCGCCCCGCCCTCCCCCGCCGCCCGCGCCCGCCCCTCCGGGTCCCCCCGCAGCGGAGAGCGGGGCCGCTTCTCCTCCCGGAGAGCCGCGCTCTTCGCCCTGCCCGAAGCGAGTCCGCGGCGCGCATGGCGGCGACGATTTCCGTCAGGCCCCGCTGAGGGCACCCTAGAGGGGCGGGGCCACGGAGCGGCCCGGGTTGGAGAGGCCCCGCGGGGGACGGCGGAGCGGAAGCTGCGCCCCCCCGGCAGGTGAGCGGGACCGCGGAGCCGCGGGCTCCCCCCCCCTACCGCTGCCAGCACGGCCCGGCGGGTCGCACGGTTGGGGCTGGTGGGGCCGTGCCGCCTTGCGCGGGTTTTCGGTAGGAGCTGGCGGAAGTTGTTGCTACAGGGTAGCCCGCAGTGGGGGAGGGGCAGCTGTCGCCTCACTTCGCTGAGGAGAAAACCATGTTTTGTTGTGGTGAGGCGGACGCAGCGCTCACCTCAGAGACTGCCAGTATCCCCAGGGCCGCGCCGGGCGAGATTTTACCTCTTTGACGAGCTGCATAAAGCTCATTTTTATCATCCAAGGGGAAAATAGCAAAGGTGCACAGAAATCTTAGGAGAAATATCGCTAACAACGGTTTTCTTTTCGCTCTCAGGACTTTGAGGCACCCGCAGGTTTGAGCACAGGCAAACCCTCGTCCGCTCGCCTTTCGCCTTCCTCGTTCCGAGGCAATGCCCAAAGTGAAGAGGAGCAGGAAGCCTCCCCCGGATGGCTGGGAGCTGATCGAGCCAACGCTGGATGAGCTGGATCAGAAGATGAGGGAAGGTAAGTAGCAGAGCTGGGTGTTCTCAGGGATGTATCCCTCAAACAAGCTAATCTGTAACTGCTTCAGGAAGCACAGCTCCCCGTGTGAATATAGATGGAGTACTTTTTATCTCTCTGCCTTGCAGTGATACTGTAGACTGAGACTGGGCCGGGACTGGTCACTTTTCTCTGGGTGTACCCAGGTTTAGAGAGCACAGAGGTTTGATGTACAGTTGTTTTAGGGCACACCACGGCCAAGCCATGGCTGAAGCTCGCTGGTGTGTGTGTGGAGGGACTGGCAGGTCTTGTTTGTGGCGTTGTTCTGGTCTGACGAGCCAGGGCAGCCACAAAGTCACCTGCCATCCCAGTGTGGGTCACTGGCGTTCTGTTTTCATTTCCTAAATTAAACCTTTCATGTTCCAGGTCAGGTCCCTTTTGTTTGAATCTTCTCAGCCCTATCTCTATAATTTATTAAAGTTATGAACGTTCTTGGAACAGTTTATTGCAAAGTGACTAAGGAAATAAGTTGGCCACCTGAAATGGTCAGCTGAAACCTGGTGTTTGTGTTCCCTCCTAGCGGAGACCGAGCCTCACGAAGGGAAGAGGAAAGTAGAATCCCTTTGGCCTATCTTCAGAATTCATCACCAGAAAACACGTTACATCTTTGATCTCTTCTATAAAAGAAAAGCTATCAGCAGAGGTGAGGAATGCAAACACTTTAGCCCTCTGTTCTGTTTTCTCCATTGAACAGAATGGAGTAAGATGTCCGCCTGCGGATGTGCCTGAACTGGGGTGTTGGCGGGCAGGAGTGGGTTTCTGGGGAGGGAAGATGGAGGGGAGGTTGGTGGCTGCCTGGTTTTAAGTGCTAGTTACTACAGCTAGTAATTGCTGATAGTGAGTCTTCTAATGCCTCCTGGGAGCTACTTGTGATGGTGTCTGCTCCTCTGCAGAGCTCTACGAGTACTGCATCAAGGAAGGATATGCTGACAAAAACCTGATTGCAAAGTGGAAGAAACAGGGTTACGAGAACCTCTGCTGCCTGCGGTGTATCCAGACACGGGACACCAACTTCGGAACCAACTGCATCTGCAGGGTCCCCAAAAGCAAGCTGGAAGTGGTAAGGGTTTTCAGCTTGTTCCTCTTCTTGTCTGGACCCTTGTAGTACCTGGTCTAACTCCTCCCTGGTCAGGAACAGCAGAGGAGGTAGTGCTGTTCTTCCTGGTACTTTTCACTAGCTCCAACATTTTCTACCTTTTGCTGGTAGAGTTGATACCTAGTTGGTTCTAAAGTTACTGTCAGCTTTAGCATTCAGTTGTTTAAAGTCGTTAAAATATGGGGAAGCAACAGAAAACTAGATGGTAGAAACCCTTCCCATGCAGACCCGTTCTCTGCCTTGAGGCACGAGCCCGCTGGTCTGTCTGCTCACCATACCTTGGCTGAAATACCCTCCTCATGTTTCTTTTCCAGGGGAGAATCATTGAATGCACTCACTGCGGATGCAGAGGCTGTTCTGGGTGAAGCCTTTAAGCCATAAGACTACTTTTTGAACTCTGAGGGATATCATCCTGCACAATGGACAGTTATCACCACCTTCTGTGTGATTGGATATTCTGTATAGCAATTAAAACAGTAACATTCACCTGGATCATATATACAAAGGTGGTTGTATTAGAGTAGGTTTTTGTGTAGCCATTTATTTTAAAATAAAGTCTGCCCTCCTGAGTGGTGTGATCTTCTGACAAAACGCTTCTTTGCTCCTCTACTCCTATTGGATGTGTTTTGATTGGGGTTTTTTTTTTGGAGGTTGCTGTACATACTGCAAGGTGTTCTAAACAGGGGTTGTTTTTAAGCAGCTCTTATCCCTCTTTCTCAAAGAACTGAATTTAAAAGGCTGCATGGAAAAGAAATAATACACTCAAACACCCAGTCTGACTCAAGCTCTCCTCCCTGATTTTTTGTAGAAGGAAGCTAAATTTCACTGGAGCTCTCTGCTAAGGTATGTGCCCTGGAATTGGCATTTACAGGTCACATGTTAAATGCCCAAATACACACAGAACACAGGAAAGAGATAAAACTAGCGCTAAGCCAAACCACTGTTAAGTCTGGTTTTACTTCTTCCTTGTTTAGCACAGGGTTTGTTAAACTACAGCATATCTAATCCTCTGCAGTTTAAGGAAATTCCCTGGAAATGTATTTGTTTCTCCTTAAAACAAAGGACAAGTGTTTTATTACGTAGTTACCGCAAGAGCTTGGGTTCATGGAAATACAAAACAGCTTTACTACAAGACAGTTTAAGGGAGCAAGTTCCATGTTCTTCCAGAAAAAGGAAGATGCAGGACTTCAGCATCCTGCTCACTGCTACTTCTGCCTTGGCTGCTCCTGCACAGCCTCTTCCTTGGTGTCACCTACCGTGCGTTTTGCTGTTCTGTATTTTTCCCAGGGGTGGGGGGTCTCCTCCCCTGCCATTACTTTTAACCACCGATAGTAGTAGCCGCGGAAACCATCAATTTTCTCCAGGTATGGGTTCTTTGACTTATACTGCAAGCAGAAACCAAACAAAACAAGTTTCTATTAGAAGAGAGCTCACTTTGGTACCAGCCGCTACTAAAGAAACAGTTCAAGTAGCTGTCAGCCAGCTCAGACAAAAATCAAAGGAAAATGATTTAGGCAGACATCTACGTTTCCCCTCCCTTGTTGGTGTCTTCCATGATGCCTTCACAGAGTGACCGGTCCTGGCTACTTACCCTGTCAAATTTTGGAGGGTACTGTGCTGCAAACTCCAGCTGCCGTATGATAACTTCATTGGGAGGCACTTGGTTATTCCTCATGTCTCGCAGGATCTCTGTGAGGTAACTGTAATCCAGCTGCCTCACAGCGGCAGCCATGAGGGTGCTGTAGATGTACTTGTTGGGAGTTACTCCAGACCTCTGAAAACAACAAATGATACAGTTAAACTTGTTTATCTGCTTATTAGCACAGGACTAATAGAAGGAAAAGGCACACGGGTACTTCGTGCACAAGGAGCAAGGCTCTCACTCCGGGACCCGGGTAGCAGCTTCTACAGTGCCAGCACACCCCTTCGCGGGAGCCCTCTCCTATCCCAGCGCCCAGTAGGACAGCCCACCTGAGCTGGCCCCTACTCTAGAGTTGCATGTTTTTGGAGTGAGAACACAAGCACTCACCACAGAAACCTCAGCAGGTCTTTTTATAAGCATTCACGCTTCACTTTGCCTCTTCCTGCAGCTCGAACCCTAAGCAGAAAAGTTTATTACCTTCAAATCTGAGAGTAACTGGAGTCCATCCTTCTCTCGGTGGCAAGCAATCGCCAAGTTACAGAAGGTCTGGAGGTTAGGTGATAGTCCCCTCTTCACTAGAGCTGGCAGCACGTTCTGCAAGGTACAAGTGTTAACAAGTGAGGCTTTTTGGACTCTGATGTCGCTTTCCAGACAGAGAGCTAAACATGCTAAAACAGAATCCATAAACACATAGAAATCAACCCAAGCACTGGTTTATGCAAAACAGTGCAAGATCCTCGCTTTCTATCGTGGACAGAGAAACAGGTCTCACAACAAAACACGGGTACTGCTGGAGGCCTGAGACAAGGAGATGGTGATAGGGCTGGTTCCGAAGTTTTTTTCTCACCTTTGCTCCTTCCAGGTCTGCCCGTTTACTTTTCTTCCTTATTAAAGTGTTAAAGAAGGTCACATCTACTTTCACTTTATGTTCATCTAGGAGTGCCAGCAAAGAGGACTCTGAGGGGCTTTGGGGTTCCACCAGCTCAGCCAGTAACGTAAATGTTTTGATGTTGGGTTCTGCATTGTCCTCTTTCATTTTATTCAAAAAGCCCTCCACATCCCCCATCAAAGCCAGTCGATCGGATGGTGTGGCCACTGTCCCCAAAGAAACCACAGCTGCATCAGGCATCCTGGAATCCAGCAAGTTGGGCAGGCGGCAGAAATGCTGCTTCTGGCTTAGGCATGCTTGTTCCTGCTCCATCTTGTTCTGGCTTCTCCTCATCAACACTCCAGTCCTGCTGTGAGCTATGCTGGGGCTGTCGAGAACAGCTGGTTCTGTTTCAGCCCGAGTCACATCTTTATTTTGTGGCTGCATCAGTTCTTCAGGCTTTACCGAACTCTCCTGAAATAATTGCTTTTCCATAGCTTCCACATCCAGCTGGACAGCAGCTGCACTCTCCAATTCCTTCTTCCGATTTTTCACCTTTTCCTTCTGTCTCCCTGGTGCAAGCCTTAGCAGAGATGAGTTCTCATCGCTGGGTGCGAGCAGGAGTTCAGAAGCCACGACTGGATCGCCTATTCCACAGTCTCTGGCAGCACGCAGCATCAAATTGTAGATGTGGCTGTCAGCCTTTATTCCAAGTTTAGTCATTTGTTTCCAAACCTGAAGAGGGGAAGATGAACAGCAGACGTACATGGTATTGAACATCAGGAGCATTTCTGGCTGATTGCAAGCGTATCTGTTAACGGTATCTGCTCTCAGAAGAGGAGCAAGTTTACAGCATGACAAAGTGAGATGCCACTGGAGAGTGAACAGCCACCTCGAGCTAGTACAGTCCTGCGAGTTCATCCAGGGCGGTTTACCAGTGTATGAGATGTCCTGATGGAAGTCTAGTTTACAGAACTTCTCCTAGGAGGGGCTGAGCTCCTCCTATTTCATCAGCTCTGAGCAACCTGCTGCCTTCCGTGTGTTCAAGTGACGAGTTACAATACAGAACCCACTTTTTCCTCCCCGCTTAGAGCATGAAGACACACCTGTAAGGCATATCGGAAGCCATTTTCGCTGTCCTTTATGCAGCTCATGAGAAGGAAGCTGAAGGTCTCGGCTGTGAGAACGTGGCCCTTGTGAACAATTTCCTAGAAAAGCAGAGAGAGCATTAAACTTTGCAGTTACCCAAACAGCCTGTTGCAGCTGGCTGTGAAGCTCAAATACCACTGTCTTCTTCTCAGGATACAGCAGCAACAAAGCATTGGGTGAATTCCTAGTGCTGTGAGCATAATGATTGCTCCAGGAGAAAAAGAACCCCAAAATGCCTGCATAGATCCTAGCTGCTCCCTGATGGGAGCTACAGGGAATTTAGGGGCAGGAACAGCAATCCTTTTGACTACTCCCAGACTGGCCCTTCTGAGAGAAGCTGCTGTAAGAGCTCTAAAAGGAGCTAGGTATCAATATATGATCTTCAAAATGAGGAATGGAGACAGACACAGTAGCTGCAAACTCCACAAAAACTTTGTTCAATAAGCTTCTGACACACCTGACCAGAGTTTGAAAGCCAGCCTCTGCAGCTGCCTCCTTTTATGTTCTTAACCTTACTGTTTGGTAGGTACTAAGACAAAGTCATTGGATGAAACCCAGGATGAATGAAATGTAAACATGTAATCTCTAATTACCTCTGCTGGAAACAAAACAAAAAAGTCTATGCAATATGGCAACTTCCAGGAGCTTTAACCAGAGCAGACTGCATGTAATATGAGAAAAGTCATGTCTTTACCTTCAGTACATCAAAGCACATCCTGAGATCTGAGCACCGGGAACAGACTTTCAGCAGCGCGTGGTAAGTGATCAGGTTCAGGTCTTCATTTTTGCTCTTTAGCTGCTGCCGTAGTTTGAGTGCACTCTGCAGGCCCGAGTCTTTCCAAGGCGATTCAGCACAGGCATTGAACAGGGCTGTGTAAGTGGCCTCGGTGGGAGTCAAGCCTCGTTTTTTCATCTGAGGGAAGAAAAGAATTGGTACTGGCTTTTTAGGAAAGGACTTGTACAAATTCTTAACTTGTTTTTAAGAGTTTCAAGCTAAGAAGATGCAAACACTAACTGGAATGCATTTTAGAGACAAAGTAATGTGAACAAACGCTCGAAACAGCTTTAGCTTAGAAAATGTAACAAAGGTTTGAGAGAGCAGAGAATGTTAACCTACATCATTGTAGAGCCTGAATGCCTTTTTCACGTAGCCAACCCTGCCACAGCCACCACTTAGAACAGTTTTCTTCTGGCTGCACACGCTCTGCCTTCAGCACCTGCACCTCAAACAGCTCAAAAGCCTCCGCCAGCTACAGGGAAGAGGAAAGTCCATGATGAGGCAGCAACAGAATCAATTAGAATGGATATTAACATATGCAGCTATGGGCAGGTTGTGGTAGAAAAGACAGAGCATGGGATTCCTCACAAATTCTTACTTTACTTCTTTATGTAAAGATACTAAGCAATAGGACAATACAGATGGGACAGAGAAACAAAGAGCTGGGAACAGACCTTGTCCTCTTTGATGAGGGCCTTGCATTTTAAGAAGTACCAATATGGGGTGTTCCTACGACCACGTCGAGGTTTTCTTTCTGCTTCTTCCTCTCCCTCTTCTTGAAGCTTTAAATTCTGAAAGCGCGATGTTGTTTTATGATAATATTTTCTAGAAGAAAATTTGTTAGACAGCGTCCCGAACTCCACGCCTTCGTCGTCGTCATCATCCTCCTCCTCCTTTTCACCAACAGCTTCACTGCAGCTGCCAGCATCAGTCTCTCTCGGGTGGCTACCGGGCAGCTTGAAGGAGGCCTGTGAGGAGCTGAACGGCCTCCAGCCCGGTGGGGGCTCCTGCGCCAGGGGCCGGGCCGGGCGCGGCGCCTTCCCGGGCTGCTCGGGAGCTGCCCACCGGCACCGCGAGGCGAGCGGCCCCAGAGGGGGGAGAAGGAGCCGCACTGCCCTCATGATATGCCCGCGGCCACCGGGAGGGCGGAGCGGCGA